TGGATGAATGCATTCAGTTTAAGATTGCAAGTAACTATGTTTCGAGGCCAATATTGTTTGCTGATAATATGGCTGCTATATGTTTTACAAAATCACCCATTGAAAACTCGAGGACAAAACATATAGATGTGAAACTATTTTTCATTCGTGATCTATTGAACAGGGAAATTTTTGATTTAAAATATGTCCCAAGTAAAGATAATCTGGCTGATCCCATGACAAAACCGCTGACTAAGCATAATCTGATAAGATTTTGTGGAACAATTTTCTTATGAAATTTGTTTTTGTGTGTATTTAAATTAAGAGTTTTGTTAATTTGAAAATATGTTATAAGTCATATATAAGTCAAATTTGGAACACTAACCAATGCTTCACACACACATATTATTAAGTGCAATTTCGATAGCAAATACTACATATTAAAATTTATAGGGTCAAATTTTGCTACTGTTGAGTAGATTGTCGGATTATCGATATTTTTTGAAAGCATTATCAACATATCAAACCAAACAATTAAAAATACAATAAAAAAGATGTCTAAAGTATAACTTGCAATTAAAACAGCAATGCAAATTTAAATTACACAAACGACACATTAAACATTGCATATAAAATATGTTACATTACAGCTCGGTATAACATACAGCCTAGCTTTGTTCATGTGCACAACGACTGTATTCGCTCGAAAAACTTCCAAGAATTGCAAAAACTTGGTGTCGATGTACACATCCATCTATTTTCACTAAAAAAAAATCAGAGAATTGCACAAACTCGGCACTGCGCACACTGCATTGGCTTTGCTCATGTGCCCATCGATCTATTTTCACTTAAAAAAAAATCCCAGAGTTGCACAAACTCAGCATTGTGCACCACATTGCCTTTGCCCATGTGCAAATCTATCTATTTTCACTTCAAAAAACATCCCAGAATTTCACAAATGTGGCATCACGCACAACCTCGGCATTGTGCACCACATTCGCTTTGCCCATGTGCACATCGATCTATTTTCACTTAAAAAAACATCTCAGAGTTGCACAAACTCGGCATTGAGCACCACATTGGCTTTGCCCATGTGCACATCGATCTATTTTCAGTTAAAAAAATCCCAGAGTTGCACAAACTCTGCATTGCGCACCACATGGACTTTGCCCATGTGGACACCGATCTATTTTCAGTTAAAAAAACATCCCAGAATTGCACAAACTCGGCATTGCGCACCACATTGGCTTTTGTTGGAAAATATAGCTTATTTTTAAACCTTTTACTGCATCATCTCTCCTCCTTGAAATGTTTATTTAGTTTAGTCCTTATTTTAATGTAATAGTAGTTACTTCTCTTCTTTTTTTGCTGCCACTGTTTGCATTGAAACGGACTGTTTCAACCTAATTGAGATGCAAAAACGAAAGATGATGTTACGTCATCTGAAAAAAGCCGATTCGTGCCGATAGCTGATTGGTTGCCGTGAGATGACGTCATTCCTACTTCTGCTATAAGTATCTCGCGTCGCTCTGGCTCAACCCTTCCTCCGGTGCATGCACTTTCGATTTGGTAGTGCTGGCATGAGGTGTTGCTGTTGATTAAAGAAATTGTTCTTTCTGTCTACGGCGTTGCTTTTGTTGCGATTTTGTGAAGTAAGGGAAAACGACATTGCTCTCACTACTGAAGCTGATCCTGAGTTGCTGTCGTCTCTTCTTGATGTTCACGATAAGTATGTTTTCTTTATTCTTTTCGCCATTAGGTTAAAAGTTAGGATCATGCATATCATGGACAAGGAGGCGATTGAAAAACCGTATCAATCTGTGTGTGATCACGAAATCTGGAAGTTACCTGCGATAACTTAGAAAACTTAAGCAAACTTATGCTTTCTGAGTTTTCATGCTTATCAAATTCATTTAATCCAAAAATGCGACTGAAGTTCACTTAGCCCACGTCAATGCTATGGAAAAGGATATACAAATCTTAGAATTATACATTAATGGAATGAAACAAAAAGAAACCCTAAATAATCCAACACAGGAAACAAGTCAATCCGATATTACTGCTAGTCAAAAATCTAGAATCAAAAAGAAAACCACAATAGATAAAGAAGGATACATAACCCCTTAGAAATAACTCATAAAAGAACTCTATCAAATTCCGAAATAGAAGAAAACCAGCTCAAAAAATAAATTCGAGGAACTAAACCCTGAAGACAATATGGAAGCAGAGGAAGGTGAATTTATTACACCCAACAAAAAAGCAGGACACATTCCCCCTATAGTCTTAGCAGACTTCATGGGGGATTGGGATAAGATGAAAGAAGAATTTTGAAGAGCCAATTAAATATCAAAAAAAATATCGTGGAAACCTAAGTGGAGGTACATTGACCATAAGAGTTTATGACCTCAGACCACTACCGCACAGTTACTGAATACCTTAACTAAACTGCATTATTCCTTTTCATACTTTTAAACTCAACCAGTGAAAAGCCTATCAAGGCAATAACTACAAAACTTTCCAAAAACAGCTAATATGGAACTAATCAAAAATGAAATTGCCCAAGAAGGTATCCCAATTTAAAAAATTCGACAAGTAATTCACACTATTGAAGGAAAGAAAGTTCATCTTCCTGTTTTTATAGCAGAATGTACTAGAAATAAAGAAGGTAAAAGAATATATGATCTAAAGAAACTCAGAGGTCTGGATGTCTTTATCGAGCCTTTAAAAGCTCACCCTGGACCCATGCAGTGCATAAGTGCCAAAAATACGGGCACACACAGGACAAATGTCACTATAAACCTCGCTGTTTAAAATGTGCAGAGCCTCATGAAACATTCACTTGTAAACAAACAAAAATGACAACCAAACTCCCTGTCTGTGCCCTCTGTGGGCAAAATCACGTTTCTTCCTTCAAAGGTTGCAGTAAACATCCTTATAATGTTCAGAAGCAAATCAAAGAATCTAAAGCTTTCAAAGAAGAAAGAAAAAAGAACAATTTAAATTTAACAAAAAGGATTTTCCTTCACTCCCTGAGAACAAACCAAAAAATGCATGGAATACCTTCCAAGGAAAATGAAAACACTAGTAAAACAGAAGACACAAACTCAAACCCACTTAACTTTTTTGACTGGATAAAAATCCAATTCACTGAAGTTAAAGAATTCTTTCAGAAATTTAAAACAGCAAAAACAATTAGACAAACTAGAGGTCGGTATGGCGGCCTTCGAATATTTCTCAAATCTAAACTATGAATTTTAATCAAACTCATAGTCAAATAAATTTTATCTCAGCTACAAATAGCTTCTTAAAGATTTGTTATTATAATGCAAACGGCATCAGATACCAACAAGTGGAAATTTCAAATTTTCTTACTAGACATAACATTGATGTTATGCTAGTAAATGAAACCCATCACCAAAGTCAACATTATTAACAAATTTTGTCAAGACTGGAAAATCAAACTAAATACTGATAAATGCTGCGTAGTTCTCTTTCGCAGATACAGAAAAAATATCCCATTGAATATAAATATCCGACTCAATAACCAAGATATTCCTGTTGCCAACTCCTATAAATATTTAGGTGTCTATATTGACAAAACCCTAAATTTCAAAGATCATATCAATATGTTACAATAAGGCTAACGCTGCTTTCATTGCTCTCTACTCATTAATTGGAAGAACTCTAAAGTTAAGCCTCCGTACCAAGAAAATATCTACATCTCACATTATTTGCGGAATAATCCTTCTATGCAGTTCCAGCCTGGGCTACTGCCCGAAAAATAGACACTAGAAAATTAAATGTACTCCAAAACAAAATCTTACGTAGCATAGTGAACGCCACCCTGGTTCGTGCGAAATTCTCAAATTCACAAAGACCTGGATATCAATCCAATTCACAACCAAATTCTAATTTCTGCACACAACTTCTTTGAAGATATGAGAAATTCTCCCTATGAAGCGATTAAATCGCTTACAGACTAGACCCTACTATTGAGAACGTAGTGAAAAGACCTCGAACGATCCACCACAATTCTAAGTGGTGGTAGTGTATATAATGTATATATATAAAAAAAAATTACTATTCCTTTGCAGTTACTATTCAAGAAAGATGAACTTTGCAAAATTAGGACTTTATTTTTCATCGATGAATTCTTCGTTTACTACTTATTATTAACCAAGATGTTTACTTTTTATTTTTAATATTTCGTATCGTGTGTTTTTAAATCAAAGTTCGTGGTACACCAAGTGCTTACTCTCACTCATTAGCCCTAGTGAGCTACATGACCTCATTTTCACTTTTACAGTTTCCTATTCATTTAATGATTATATCGCAGTTTAGAAGATTTTCAAGTGTTTCAAAAGACATAAGACCTCTTAAATTCACAATAGATGTTGCTTTTACTATGTTCGAACTTTATTTATTGCCAAAAACTACAAAAAACTTCATTTTTCGAACTCTGACTCCTCGAACCTAATCTAAATGCCGGACACTGATCACGTTTTTCTGCTCTTCTTGACTCACGCCAGAAGCTTAGACTTTTATTTCGCTTCTCGCCACCACTTAACGTATATAATCACCCATGCTATACTGCAACTTTAGCAAAACTTATTTTATGAGTTCTATCATTTATTGATCTCGCCTTCGGACACGGTGTATTTTTAAATACACGTCTTAAATTTTTAACTTTATGGCCTATGATAAAATGATAATATACTGGTACGAGCTCCTAGGTAGCTAAAGCCAGCAGTAAAGATATGATCCAAGATCCAAGCTCAACCCTTCTAGTTCCTGCTTTCCCGGCACTTGAGTGAGCGGTTTCCAGCCCCTTCAGAAGGATGCATGCAGTCCGGTGATTAAAGTGCCTTGGTTTCGGTTTGCGGGATGATTGTTCCAGATTAAAGTTCTTTGGTTCCAGAGGCTACCATGTGAGTGACTGCTGTGGGTGGCATCCATGTTCTTCAATGAAGGCGGAATTAAAAATACGTGAGCGGCGACTCCTTGTGCAAACGGGGGTTAGGCCTCTTTTATGTGCTTTCAAGAACTTCATTTAAATTTTCAGGCGTTTTTCTTGACCATTGATTATGGACTTATTAAATGTGTAGCCAGATTCAATTTTAGGCCGCATAATTACTGCTTAGGACTTTTTGTTTGTATAGAATGCCAGTGTTTTGGAGACCAGGTAAAAATATTTGATGAATGATGGTTATATTATATTTTTCCTAAGACTCTAATATTGTTGACATTTATTTTCTGTGTTTTTATTCTTTATTATATTGTTAATAAATTGGTTAAGTTCAAAATCTTTTATTGTCTTCAATGTCTGCACAACATATCTCAGGGAGCTTTTATTGCTACTACTGCTAAATGTTTAATTTCTTTAAACCTTAAACTTTGCTTTAGCATCAGCTTTGCCCATGTGCACATCAATCTATTTTCACTTCAAAAAACATCCCAGAATTTCACAAACTCGGCTTTGCCCATGTACACATCGATCTATTTTCACTTAAAAAAATCAGAGAATTGCACAAACTCAGCATTGCGCACTGCATTGGCTTTACCCACGTACACATCTATCTATTTTCACTTAGAAAAACATCAGAGAATTGCACAAAGTTGTCATTGCGCACTGCATTGGCTTTGCCCATGTACCTATCAATCTATTTTCACTTAAAAACATCAGAGAATTGCACAACTTCAGCTTTTTCAATCTTCTAGAATCGAGCCAAAAAGAAATACAAAATATTAAAAATAAGCAACTTTAAAACGAACCATACAAGAAAATTTTTTTCACTTACCCTTTTCAAGAAAAATTTAAAATCTTTTTGAGGGGTTTTATATATGTATATTGAATTTATCTCAGAGGGGAAACCCTTTTGGATCCCCCCTCATCTTTAAATAAATTTACTAATGTTATATACTTTCGTTCGTATATATGCAGAAAAAAAGCAAAATCCCACAGAGAAAATACTCAATTAAAAAAAAAGAACCACCACATAAGAACATTCAAACCGCAACAGAGCTCAAATTAGCAAGTCAAAATTTTTTAAAAAAATTATAGCTTTCAGATTTTACATTACGCATAAAGGGGCCTTTTTTTAACGTTTTGTGTGTTACTTTTCTTTATCAAATATAATGTTCTTTACACTTAAACCATAAAATTCAGTTCAACAGCAATATCGCAAAATAATTTTAAAATCAGCATATATTTAGAATTTCCGATACACAGTTTTGCGCTTTGCACGTAAAAATGGTCCCACACGCACACACACACGTACTGTGTTGTCATTGTTCGCTTTGAAATCTTTGAGTTTGTTTGTTAATCAAAAATTCGTTCAAGTTTTACAAAATATCAATCAGATAATAAAAAAAATTCCAAATTCTAAGTTTGGGCTTCCAGATGCCCATATTAGTTTGGAAACATATGTTATTCAAAATTTGATATCTCTAGGTTACCGTTGTTTTATCACAATGCGAGAAAGATTTATGCAGATTTTTCAATATTTAATTTCTTTAAATATAACACAGGGGGATAACATCTAGTGGTAACATGTTACCACTAGATGGTAACAGTGGTAACACAGTTTCAAAACATCGGGTTAGCCATGTTGGCGTGTTTATCGCCCATTGAAAAACAGTCTCTAAGCAGTGGGCTAAAACCACATGCAGTTTTGTTTTTTAATAAAATTAGTACAAGTATTCTCAGAATAGTAGTTACAGAACTGCTTTTTGAATTCTAATATTAATTTCATTAAAATGAAACCTAGACAATTAGTAATAAGTGCTTAAAAAGTAGTAAAACTCTGAAAATTCAAAGCTCTTAAGTTCAAATTTTACTCAGATTCTAAATTCAGGTAAATATAATATTCTTGAATCCAACAGAATTTCGAAGTTCAAGAACTGTTTCTGCTTCATTTGGGAAATGTTAAGCTGAAAAAATAATTTAGTAGGTGTTGCAACTTTCCAATCTTAATTAATTTTGTAATTTAATGCATTTATTTTAAAATATAAGTCTGCTTAAAAAAAAATAAGTAGTTGGTTCTGTTATGTGTATGTATTCATTGAAATAAAGGCAATCATGTATGTCTGTGATGTGTCAAATAGGTATTGCAACGTTTTTTTTTTTTTTTTTTTTTTTTTTGCTAGCTGTGAAAGGTATCAGATGCTGCTCTTCCTCACCCCCACCAAAACATTGCTGTATAATATAAAAACAAAATAAAAAAAAGGAAATTATGGGAATGATATCCACTATCAGCAGACTTATAAAAAATGTTATCTCAACTTTAGCTATAAAGGAAAATATTATTGCAGTATAACTAAAAGAAGTGCTATTTCTTAATACTGCAAAACAAATTTGTTTATTGTAAAAGTTAATAAAAAAATCTGGATATTGAAGAAGCATATGGAAACATCAAAAGTAATTTTAAAAATCAAACTGGTATCATTTTTATTTAAAATTAGCCAAAAAATTAATTTAATTGCCAGTATTGATGAAATTACTGTGATGATTAATAATGCTTATTTATGTTTGCCAAAGTAATTTGTTTAAGTATTATTGCTTTGTTTTTTAAAAAAATATTCTTATCATTGCCATTATTATTTAGGCATCAGTTTTAGATTAGAGCAGGTGCATGTTTCTATTGTCATTGATATCTCTATTGTCACATTCTGGTAAGGCTTGTCCCACTAGTTTGTTTCTTAACGATTTTTATTGCATTTTGCATAGTGCATTTGCTGAGAAAAACAAGGCCAATCTAATATTTACAGGTATGTGATACTTTACCAAAAAATTGCTCCAACTCCCATGTAGTGGAATTGTTGTTGCGTCGTCTTGTCCATGAAATTCATGGAAGAATAGTTACCAGAGCCTCAGGAGGTTAGACTTCTACTTCCACCCGAATTTTGAGGGAGAGCACCCCAGGGGGTGGTCCGAGGGTCTCCCACCCCTCTTCCTATTATCAAACCACGTAAAAAGTCTTTTGGTTCGCTATATATTTAGAGTGTCCTTATGCCGCAAAGACATTTACAAACGTCCATGCCTTCACTGGGATTCGAACCTGGAGCCACTGCTACCACGGTAGGTTCCCCTAACCACTCTACCATCTGGACAGCAGTGGAATTGGAGCATACACAACTTCAACTGACCAGGCAACATGATGGAAATGAAACATACACAACTTCTAACAAAGTGTTAGAAAAAGAACTAAGAATTTGTTTAAGGAAAGTTGCTGGCTTCTTTTTTTAAGCAGAATTCAGATGGAAGCAGAGGTAGGCTGCCGCAAATAATAATGTGTTAGCTATGATTTTGAATGCAATTGTGAGACAGTATCTACCAAAAATTAAAAATGAGGGTCCGGATAATTGAAGCACTGCATTTTTCCTCCTTTCCATGGCAGATTGAAAATATTTAGAATGTCTGTGTATTAGCATGAATGGTATATAAATTTATAAAAGCAGATAAATATTACTGTAACAGACAATTGAAAATGAGAAGTTAACATACACTGAAGAGCCAAAACGTTATGACCACTTACTCAAGATGACTGGAGACAAGTTGTGTCAAATGTATAAGCAGTGTTCACGCAAAGTCGAGATATTCCGACATGGTAGTGTTTGAGCTCTAAGCTGCGGTTTCTTGGCATTCCAAATGTACTGTATCAGTTTAAGATCCAGCGAGTTAGGTGGCCAGGACATAAATTTGAATTCATCCTTGTGCTCCTCGAATACAGTTTGAGCCTCGTGACATAGGACGCTGTCCTGCTTGAAGAATCCATTTCCATTTGGGAAGACAGGCAGTATGTAAAGATGCAGCTGATCTGCATTTATGTTCAGTTCAGATAGTCTGCAGCTTTTATGGTCTGTTCTACTACAACTGAGAGACCCATAGCCCTCCCCCCCCCACGAGAACATCCTCCAAAGCATCATACAGCCGCCACCAACTTGTGTATGACCTGCTGTAAGGGGGGGAGAGCACTGCTTGCGTGGAAGGCAGCGTATCCTGACATGACCATCGATGTAATGAATGAGAAATCGAGATTCATTTGACCAGGCAACTGTCTTTCACTTATCCATGGTACAGGGTCCAGTCTCGATGTTCCTGGCCCACTGTAGACGTAGTTGACATGACGCTTGATCCACAGAGGCACATAAATGAGATGTCTACTGCGTAGTCCTGTATCCTGTAGTATCCACTGAAGTGCGTCTTCCGAAACACTTGCATTTAATTCTGCATTTGCTGTACCAAGCGGGACAGTCTCCAACAACCCCCCCTCTTTTTTTCCCCTTTTTAATGCTGCGTGAACATCCAGCACCTTCGCGTCAACTGCTGGTTTCACCGTCATTCATCCACTTTGCATAAATACTAACAATGTCAGATCGTGAAAAAACTACCAGTCGTGCAGTTTTGGAGATACTAGTTCTCAGTCTTTGGGCCATTACGATTTGCCCTCTATCAAATTTAGTTAAATCAGCAGCCTGTGCTATCACTCGCAAAAATAAATGCAAGAATGATTCCTTACCTTCCTCAGCAGCAGTTAAATTTCTATTTCCGCTTAATCGCATGCCTTCCACATCATCCAGATGAGTTCATTGAAAAATCTGGGGATGGTCATAATACTTTGATTCATCAGTGTATATAAGACAAGATGCATGCTGATAAAAATAAAGATTGGAGTATTAAAAGCCATTACATTAATAGATTAAATATAAATTTAAAAAAGAAGTTGGTATAATATCACTATAAAACAGAGAATTGAATATGGAATTAAGTACATGAAAGATAACATATGAAGGAAACTTGGAAAAAATATTAGGATTGCTGTGTTGGAAGACGTTACAGTTAGCATTTAGCATTATAGCCAGTTTATTACATCTGCGTCAAAAGATCTTCAAGAATCCTTTTGTCTTATCGGGTGTTGAGAATTTAGTAGGCAGTGATCTGGGTATAAGAGGTTTCAATTGTTGGATTTAATTTCTTCTACTATTTTAGCAAAGTAGATTTCTAAAATAATTATTCTCATCCCTGTGAGTTTGTGACTAATCAAAAAGCATCTTATCTTTCAGTTTGGGTACTTGTCTTCCATAGTAGTCTTGTTGAGGAAGTGGATTTGTTGCTTTTTTTGCATTGGTAAGAAATATAAAAGTTGCCAATCTCCACATGTACAAAAAACAAACTGTTAATGATCTAATTGGTTTTCCATAATTGCTTTGTGTTAATGTAGTGGGTTTTCTTTGTAAAATACACATTATGCTTATCATGTTTCATCTTCAACAGCAAAAATAAGCTATAGTTCATGGCATTATTAGCAGTAATTGCTGAATTGTGGTCCTCAGAAATTCTGTAAAAAATTAACTTTCTGATATGTTTGTATATTTTACACAATTGTATTAAGATAATTAATGTACATATTAAATACGTTTTGTTAAATTAGATTGTTCTTTTAAATAAATTGCTGGCATAATTGTTTTAAATACTAAGTAGGCATTTATACTAAATTCCTTCTCTCTATATATAAATATTAAATAACTTGTATAGATGTTGAATAAATTGCTGATTTACCATTGTCAATTTTATTTTTGTGGATGTTATAATGCTTAGCATCAAACTGCAGTTTCATAACCCACCATGCCTTAGTAAAAGCACCATTTGCTTTTACCAAGGCTGTTACACAACACAAGTGCCACAGTTTGTTTACCTTATGTTTGAGTTATTTAGCATTTGATATTAAATCAGGTTTGTAATATGGTATTGTTTATTCTTGAAAAATTGTATGGGGCACTGTTATTGTCTGTAATTAAAAAAAAACTTTTAATTTTTCAAATGATGGTGTTAAATTATTACATTAAGATGAAGGTTTTTCAGTTTCATACTTTTGGATTTAACTAATGAAAAATTTGTGCTCTAAGTTCTCAGCTCAGAATTTCAGGTCCAGAGTGTTCTTATTTTCTATTTTCGTGTAAATATCTGTTCTGTTGAATTTAGATTGCATTTTTTCTTTTAGGAGGGCCTAAGAAGTTTATCTAAAACTGAAAAAGGAGATTCAGATCAACTGATGAATGAACAACAAACTAATGGAAATTTGGCAAAAAGCATTTTACATGGTACCGTTAAAGTATTTGGTTTTTTTGCCAATCTTGCTAATCAATCTGCTGGGCTCCCATGATGTATTTGTTTCATCAGCTTTTAATTCTTGTGATTAACAATATTTCACAATATTTTTACATTTTTATTGTTCTTTCACACTGAGCGAAACTTGTTGTGATATATACAGATAAAATTTATTTTTGTTTCCTGGGAATATTTCTTCCTTTGTTATTACTAATATTTTTGTTTATAACATAAAACATGCCATTCTGTAGGTATTTCGTTTCACATACAATGTTAATTGTATTATTGAGTTTTGAATTTTTTGTGTGTGCATAGAAAAACTGGTTACTGTGGGTTTTATTATATATAGATGTGTATAAACAGTGCAGATGTCGCTTATTATTTTGATATTATATGGTCTGTGATTATTTAAACAGAATAAAGTATGCAGGCCATTTTTGTTGTCTATCTGATGCACTATAGAATAATGTACCTGAATACTGTATACATTGTGCATTAGAATTTTCGTATAAAGATGCCAGTGTAAATCTGAGAAATATATCTATGTGTGCGCTTGTATAAAAATACAGAAAATATTATTTGTGTTGGTTAATTAAGCCAAAATATATAATTGCATAAAAAAGATCAGTATATGCATTTAAGTTATTATGTATTGAATTATTATTGAGCATTGAAGAGGTTTTTAGGCGTACTGATTCTGTTTCTTTCAAAGTATGGTGTTCCAAAGAATATTTTTTTCCTCTCCCGCTATGGTATTTCCTACATGATTCATAGAAAATGTTTATACTTTTTAAAAAAATCCATATTTATTTGTTATTAAATTGTAGGTTTGTAATATAGTTGTAAGCAGGCAATATGAATGAAAATTTTGGGAGATATCTTTAAGTATTTTACTTAATTTAGGCATAAAATATGTTATTTTTTATGGACCTAACTTACTAGAAAGATAATTGATTTTTAATATTTGATCTAGGGTTTTTTTATTACATGAATAACTCAAATATTTGGCATACTGTATGAGTGCAAGAAGTATATATTTTGTAAATTACTGGAACATACAAATTACAGGTTTAATATGTTAAATCTGATCAATCAAATCTGTAAGTTTTAAAAATACTTAATAATCTACATGAGTGAACTTAGAATAATCTTTTTTCCCCTGATTTGGAAATTACTAAGCATTGAGAAAAAAAAAAGTACGAGTAAGCTTGAAAGTAGAAATTGTGCATGTTTCTGAAAGCTCACCAATAAGCGTGATGAGTGACATTTGCTATATCAAAGGAAAGTTGATTAAAATGACTAAGTATTTGTAAAGCCGTGTTTTTTAATTTGTATACATTGGTGTCATTATTTCACAAGTATATAAATTTTCAAAGCCTTAAAAGTTTCATATTTATAATGCTAACTGTTGTAATTTTTTTCACATCTTTTAGTTGTAATGTTGGCATGGATTTTGTTCTGATTTCATGATAGATTGCATCATTATAAAATGAGAAAATTCCAACCATAAAATGAAGAATTTCCACTGAAGAATATAATTTTTTAGAAAATGTGTGGATTTGACGAATAAGCGAAATCAAAACTGAACAGCCAGGCATTTCATAAGTGAAATAAATGCTTATTTTGGTCTTAAAAGAAACAGTATATTTATTTTTGCAATTTTCATTCTTTTTTGAAACGTTTCTTATTTTTTACATAAAAATATAACAAACTTTTAAGAAATAAAACTTACACAACGCTCATCAAGGAACACTCCAAGTAACATTGACTCGTTGCCACACGGCGAATCTTAATAATTTTATAGAAGCATTAAATTATGTTCCACTGCAGATGCACAAGCATAATTGTTTAGAAAAGACACAAGCATTAAAACTTCCTACATGACTTAAAATATCAAAATAAATATGTTCCATGTGTTAATTACAGATCTCAACCAAGTACCTAAAATTTTTATAAACTTTCTCAGGCAATTTTTTAATATTTAATTGATATAATTTAAAAAAGTGCATAAGAAATTTTAATAATATCTTGAGAATTTTAAAGTGAATGTTTATACTTTTCTTAAATCTTAGCAGAGAAGTTGTCTGTATTAAGTAAAGAACTGCATAAATTATTTATTTTGTAGACATTTTTTTTTTAAAAATAATTTTGAGTGAAATGGAAAACTGCAAAATTGTATTGGTGGAACAAAATCCATGACTGAGGTGGGGCTCAAATGTTATCCATTGTTTCAGATATCTATTTACTGATATGAAGTACGAAGAGGGCAAAAAAGAAGCAATTTTTAAGGAAGAGTGCTTTATAGGTTTTTTTTTTTTTTTTTTAAATCTAAATTGTAATATTTTCAGAACATTCTTTGTTTCTTTTTATGTATTAAAAGTGAAGTGTATTACATCGAATTTCCCAGATTATTCATTGTTTTGTTTTGGAAAAGGATTTTTTCTAAGGAAATTTGTGCTGTTTTTTACATTATGAAGTCATTTTTAAAAGTTGACATCTGATTTTCTTCTTTAATATTATTTGTGTGGGAAATTCTATTATTATTAAAAACAGTAATAAACATTTTGAAAGGGCATAACTTTAGGAACATTTAAATTTTGCCAAGTGTTCTGATTGTATATAAGTATTGTTTATGGTGCATAATTTGTAGCAATTTAATATTGTTTTAGGAATTTTTTTCCCTTGTATATTTTGATATGAATTATTAGAACTTTTGAAGATATCCTGCAGTTTAAGAAAGAAAAATACTGTATAGGTTTGATAGAAAAAAAAGTGTTATTGGAGTTACTGTTAAAAGAATGATATACACATGTTTGATCATTTAAGATGTGTACAATAAAAGAAAGATTCTCTATAATATTTTTAGGAACGTCTTGTATCAAATTCAGTTTTATCATTAAAATATGTTAAACGTTATAGTCTTGTGGAGAACATTTTTCCCTCACCTGGCTTTTGTTAAGCAGGGTTATATATCAGTATCATATCGGAAATAATTACTTCATTTGGAAAAGCATAGAAAACAAAAGCTTACATTGTAAAGCCATCTTCCAAATATCAAAATTATCCATCTTCCAAATTCTCATAAAGAAGTAAAAGGTTTCTGAGGAGTTTATACGATAATTTTGGAGCTCTGGGCAGTAATCAGGCTTCAGTTAGTCCAGTTGTAGAGTTAATGTTGAACTTGGGAGCTAAAGTCTTGCAGACTACTAGAGAAGATTCAATTTGGCGATTTATCAGGTCTTAGCGAAATTGTGACGCCAAGCGCATGCGCAAAAGGAAATAACGCTGTCGGTTTATGTTTAAAGTTTGTGATGGCTGTGAGTATGTCAAACGAAGTGGAAAATGAATTTTATAAAATTTTATTTGATGAATATTCCTACGAAGTAGTGTCTTCCAAGTTCGTAGGAAAAGTGGATTTCGACTTTGAGATCAGATGTAATCTTTATAGTGAAGATTGATGGGAGAATTGGAAAATACATTTTGAAGCTGTTTCCCACGTGCATTGGATTGTATCTTTCAAAACAAAACAATGCAAATCGGAAAGAGCAAAGTTTATTTTTAACCCCTTAACTGCCGCGGGCGTATATATACGCCTTGCTCAGCCGATGCGTTAACTGTCCCCCAGATGCGCAGCCGATGCGTTAACTTTGCGAATAATTTTAGGTGTAGCAGCGCAAAGCAAATGATAGCAGTTTGGAAGGACGTATATATACGCCTGGGGCAGTTAACGCATCGGCTGAGCAAGGCATATTATACGCCCGCGGCAGTTAAGGGGTTAAGAAAGATTATGTGTGTCAACATGCAAGACTAAATAAGAAAGAGGCTAGTTTCAGAAATAAAGAATGTTTAGCTGCTTTGCATGTCAGAATTTAAAAAAATAATGAGTATACAAAATGTTGTGATGAGTTTGTAAAAAAGAATCTGTGCACTTTGATTAAAGTTTCATTTTGGCATAGACATGGATGTGATGTTGCTGAAGCATGGAATTGCTTACTCCCAACTGATTCGTTGAAAGAAGTGTTCAACTATTTTCGTGCCGGTAAAATAACAATTAATAATATAATATTTTTATTCTGCTATACATCCACAGAGTTCAGTGTTAGTAAATACCGTCAAAATGGTGACAATAAAGTCAGTCTCATAAACATGTATCTGAACATAGAATTGTTCTACTTAATGGGCAATATGTTTTATTACTTTTCGTGATATTCAGTACATCATATTTCGTACAGTGAGTTTGCAATTGTTAAGCATATTAATTCATCCATTACATTATGGAATAATAAATAAATTTATAGTTTCTATATGTATATTGAAATGACAACTTCAGAATGTAAAATTATTCACACACTATAGAAGGAAAAATCATTTAATTAATCATTTAATAATAAGTTAATTGAATGTTTAAGTAATTAATAACACATAGTAACTTTTCATTTAGTTAAATTCTAAACAGAATCAGACTCCTCTGATAGTAACATCAAAAATGTCTACTAAATCATTGACCAAGAGTGCACTTGGTTATGTCTGTCATTAGTTTAAACCTTGGACACATTATAGGGGATGATATGAATTTGCCCAGCTCTATCTCATTTTGAAACAGTGACCAGGAGATAAATCCATAGATGATCTACCCCTCTTCGTTCCCATTAACTCTTGAGGACTTATTGTTCCATGCTATATACCAGGGCTTAATTTCTAAAATTAAAAGTGCCGGAGCGCTTCTAATTTTAGAATATCTGCTAGTGAGGAAGGAAAAGAAAAAATAAATGAATAATTAAAATAGCTAATAGTTAAATAATAAATTTAAATTAATATTAATTAATTTGATTAAATTAACTAATTGAATTAAGAAAATTGTAAAGATAAAGAGAAATTTAATAAATTATTAAATTAATTTTGAATAGTTAAATAGGAAAAAAAAGTATCGGACCTCTTCTTATTTGAGGCATCATCTGGAATTACAATTCTACTTAGATGCTAAGAAGCAGCTCAGCCAATTTCCTTCTAAGCCCTGATTATACATAAAATGTACTATTCCAAGGAATGACAAGTATCAGTCCTTTTTTGCAGCACACCAAGGAGAAAAGGTAAAATGTTTAAAGCTTCACTAAGGAGAATAGTGAGAATTCTAGAAACAGTATGAGGGTATGGAAAGAAATTTAACTGAAAAGTGTAGCTTTGAAAATAAAGAGGGAAAAGTTCAAGACTACGTGATTGTGATGCTCTGTCGATATAATTCTAGCCATCAAGCAGAAATTTTCCCTGATTACTTTTCCTGAATACAACGTTAGAATAAATATAAGACTTCTTGGTACAAGTGGCAGCAGTGGTCCCTCCGTTTGGTTACATCATTCAGAAAGCCTACAGCTCTGCAGAAGGAAGTCACTAGCATAGAATGTGCACGACCAGGGTGTCACTTTTAGTTCTTTGAGGAATACAAAATTTACCGCTCTCACAAATTCATTGCGTAACCTGGAAAATGCGTTTGACATATAATTGGGGGCTTTTCCTTCCTCAAAAGGCTCAACCTCTGTGCAAAGCTTGAGTGCAATGGAAAGACAAGCTTGCATTCAGAAGTTAGAATCAGATTTTTAAGACACGTTTACTATTAAAACAAAATTTCTGTGTTAAAATTGTGGTTCACTTACATAAAAAATGTGCCTGAGCCCTTTTATTTATCCAGCTGAAATTATAATTTATTGTGAAAACTGAGAAGTACCGGAGCTGGGCTTAGGCGCAATTTAAGCTCTGCTATATACACAAATGCCACAAAGTGAAGAGAAATTTAAATGCCACCAACCTGCACGCCTTTAATTCTCATTCTAAACTTTTCAAAATAAATAGATTTATCATATGAATACAGTGCATCAAAACAAAAGTATATGTGGTACTCCTTTTTTTTTTTTTTTTTTTTTTTTTTTTTTTCCCCTCCCCATTTATCAAAAATCTCTTAAATGACTTCAATAATTTGAAAGCAAAAAGGAAATTTTATCAGAACAATGGCAAGTTCTGTATTTTTAGTAGAAAGCCCACTCAATCCCTTAATATTAAAAATAAATATTTTTAATGTTTGGAAATTTATTATTCCCAAATTATATGACCATAAAACTAAATCCTTTATGCTTTTACAGAACTTTGCTTTTTACAAAGAGACAATTTAAGACGTTTTACAAAGGTCTTAAATTTAACTCTCAGAAAGAACCAAGGGTTCTAAAAAAAGCATGGATTAGTGAAAATATTATTTAATATTTTTTTATTTAATGTAATTACTGCAAAAATGTACGCCTTAATTTTAAGAAAGTGTACTGATCTATCACAGTTTTTTCAAAATGCTTGATCATGTATGAAAACAAATTTTTGTTTATTGAATATATTAATTTTAATATTTTATGCTAACTATAACACAATATAAACCTGAATTGCCAGTGCTGTGAGCAAACGTAGAAATCATAGGAACAGTACACACTCAAGCGATGGTTAAGATGCTACTAAATGATCCTCGTTCTTTCTGCATAAAAAAATTGCATCTCTTACTATCAGATCTTTGACAACTCAGGATACCAAACATAATCATTACTCAATCACCTGTAATTATAATGCACTTGTTGGCCTTTTAAATGCTAATTAATAATATATATATATATATTATTAATTAGATGATATATGTATTACATCATTTTACATTTTAGTAATTTTAATTTGTTTAAATAAAATTTGAAAGTTTTTTTTTTTCCTAATCCAAGAACCTTTTTCTATTTAAATTAATGGTAAATAGTTCTTTGATTTATGCCATAGGAGGGAGAGCAAAGGAAGATGAAATGAGTTAAATAAAAACTGTTAAAATGAATAAATTATTAACTTTTATACATCCACTTCATATTTTATAAGAATCAATAAATATCTTTTCAGAATTATTTAATAGATAAATATATACATGTAATAGTTACAGAGTTATTAATACTGAACTATACAGTGGTGGCCAAAATTGTGTAAAAGAAATTTCATCTGTAGCATAAAAACTTTGGCATCACTTTCCTTCCTCCGTGTCTTCGAGCAACAAAATAGCGTGGGCATAATAGTTGAGGCATATAACTGTAGTGGGCGGAGCATAGTAGCACTGACCAAACGTTGAAGTTTTATACACATAAGACAAATCAAAAACCTGCCTCCGGCAGCGCAAAGTCCATATCGCTTTGCAATAATTAAGTAAATATAAATACGAGTAAACAATGAAAAGTAGAAAAAACGTTAAAATCACTATGTACATCGATCACCATAACTCGTTATGGTGTATTGTTCTTGGTCTTTTGCAGCGTTGAATGACTGTATAGTTATAATCTCCTATGCTACGTACAACTTCATTTTCGTGATTATCACCTTTGGTGTAGAAAGCTATCTGAGTATTATAGAATATACAGTGGTGGCCAAAATTGTAGCCACTTTTCAAAATTTTTATGTTTTTTAACTTTGTATGCTTATAGAAAACGTTACGTTTCGCAAAATGCAAACATGTATATATCATTTTAAAGAGAATTTATTGCTGAATTCAATACAAAACACAAAATTCAGTTATTTGCAATACAAAAAAAGTTATATGTACTTTAATATAAATAAAAAACACAGTTATGAAGTGGTTTGTAATGTCTAGCTTTCCTGGCCAATCACTGTTCTTGTTCCGAGAACCATCAAATGTTAGTAACTGCCAGTAGAAGCTGACATCATGTTTACACTTGAAATAATTCATTATTTTCTTTGTTCTGTAGAAAGATGACCTGTTTCTTATACAGTGCAATTACAAGTAGGAATTTTTGTAAAAATTTTTAATATTTAGTCAAGAAGCAATGACATCCAATAAAAGGGTTCGTTGGACACCTAAAAAGAGATGTAATGTTATTGTGTTACGAGAAAGTGGT